CAGTGAAATAAAAGAGGACACAAACAAATGGAAGAACATACCATGCTCATGGATAGGAAGAATCAATATTGTGAAAATGGCCATACTGCCCAAGGTAATTTATAGATTCATTGCCATCCCCATTAAGCTACCAATGACTTTCTTCACAGAATTGGAAAAAACTGCTTTGAAGTTCTTATGGAACCAAAAAAGAGTCCGCATTGCCAAGACAATCCTAAGCCAAAAGAACAAAGCTGGAGGCATCATGCTACCTGACTTCAAACTATACTACAAGGCTACAGTAACCAAAACAGCATGGTACTGGTACCAAAACAGAGATAGACCAATGGAACAGAACAGAGTCCTCAGAAATAATACCACACATCTACAGCCATCTGATCTTTAACAAACCTGACAAAAACAAGAAATGGAGAAAGGATTCCCTATTTAATAAATGGTGCTGGGAAAATTGGCTAGTCATAAGTAGAAAGCTGAAACTGGATCCTTTCCTTACTCCTTATACGAAAATTAATTCACAATGGATTAGAGACTTAAATGTTAGACCTAAAACCATAAAAACCCTAGAAGAAAACCTAGGTAATACCATTCAGGACATAGGCATGGGCAAGGATTTCATGTCAAAATTACCAAAAGCAACAGCAACAAAAGCCAAATTTGAGAAATGGGATCTAATTAAACTAAAGAGTTTCCGCACAGCCAAAGAAACTACCATCAGAGTGAACAGGCAACCTACAGAATGGGAGAAAATTTTTGCAATCTACTCATCTGACAAAGGGCTAATATCCAGAACCTACAAAGAACTCAAACAAATTTACAAGAAAAAAACAACCCCATCAAAAAGTGGGCAAAGGATATGAACAGACATTTCTCAAAAGAAGACATTCATACAGCCAACAGACACATGAAAAAATGCTCAGCATCACTGGCCATCAGAGAAATGCAAATGAAAACCACAATGAGATACCATCTCACACTGGTTAGAATGGCGATCATTAAAAAATCAGAAAACAACAGGTGCTGGAGAAGATGTGGAGAAATAGGAACACTTTTATACTGTTGGTGGGATTGTAAACTAGTTCAACCATTGTGGAAAACAGTGTGGTGATTCCTCAAGGACCTAGAATTAGAAATACCATTTGACCCAGCCATCCCATTACTGGGTATATACCCAAAGGATTATAAATCATGCTGCTGTAAAGACACATGCTCATGTATGTTTATTGCAGCACTATTCACAATAGCAAAGACTTGGAATCAACCCAAATGTCCATCAGTGACAGACTGGATTAAGAAAATGTGGCACATATACACCATGGAATACTATGCAGCCATAAAAAAGGAGGAGTTTGTGTCCTTTGTAGGGACATGGATGCAGCTGGAAACCACCATTCTCAGCAAACTATCACAAGAACAGAAAACCAAACACCACATGTTCTCACTCATAGGTGGGAATTGAACAATGAGATCACTTGGACAAAGGAAGGGGAACATCACACACTGGGGCCTATTGTGGGGAGGGAGGAGGGGAGAGGGATAGCATTAGGAGATATTCCTAATGTAAATGACGAGTTAGTAGGTGCAGCACACCAACATGGCACATGTATACATACGTAGCAAACCTGCACGTTGTGCGCATATACCCTAGAACTTAAAGTATAATAAAAAAAAAAACGCATCCTCTCTTTGATAATGCTTTATATTGGACTGTAATGCCATGCCTTAAGTCATAATACATATCCAAAATTGATACTGAGAATAATATGTGAGACTTAAAAAAATTCTGAAATCAGTAATATCTATGTTATAAAAGTTGCAGGCCCTAATGTAAATAACAACTGTAAAAAACGACAAAAAACCAGGATGTATTTAGAGATTGAAATTTGAAAATATACATGCATATATACATACATACATATTGGAGAATCGCATGCAAGTCTTGTTTCTTCACACAGGAACCTACACACAGACAGAATCATGTGCAAGCACAGTCTCATTCTGTCATCCAGACTAAAGTGGAGTAGTGTGATCATAGCTCATTGCAGCCTGAAACTCATGGGCTCAAGGCCTTCCTGCCTCAGCCTCCTGCATAGCTGGAAATACAGGAGCATGCCACCATGCCAGGCTTATTTTTAAATTTTTCGTAGAAATGAGGGCCTCACTGTGTTGTCCAGGATGTTCTTAATCTCCTGGCATCAAGCAGTTGTCCAGCCTAGGTCTCCCAAAGTGCTGGGATTACAGGCATGAGCCACTGGGCCTAGCCAAGACTGTTGATCTAACTCCTTTACTTGTGAGATAGAAACACAAAGTGTGATATTTCCGTAGAGAGTTTTAGTGAGCCACTTTATTCTATATCAACTAATTCTTTTACAACTTTGTGGAACACAAAAATAATACAGAACTGGGGACATAATTATAGCCATAGTATGATTGCAAGTAAAGTTTATCAGTTTGCAAATCTGAATTGTACAAAATAGTTAAGTAAGTTTCCATTGCAATTTAGGTAAAAATATATAGACTTTAATTTTTGAATATTTTGCTATAAGTAGGAATATTTTTTAAGTTAATAACATGAAAAAGAGAATAAAATATTAAAAATCAATGCTTTTTATAAATATCAATTCTAAGGGTGAGATAAATATGTTAAATTTGCAAGAGCTTTTTGTACCTGTCAAATAATTATCATTGTGACTTTCCAAATTAAATTTGCTAATATGCACTGGTTGTAAAATTGAATGACCTCCTCATCCAACATTAGCTTGTATCTCTGTCTCTGAGTAATCTAATCTATTATTTAATAGCTGAAATTATATTGAGAAGAATAGTCTGAGAATTATGCATTTCATGTGTCAGTTATGTTTTACCAAATGCGTTTGAATATATTTTAGAATCCACTTGCTCATTTTCTCTGTACACATTTGTATATGGTGGTCTGTAGACTTCAGAAGATATATTTTGAAAAAAACAGTTGGATGGAGACATAGATGTTCCTTCTTGTATGTGATCTGAAGAAATTGAATTCTTTGTTTCAGAGGGAGAATTTATTTGAGGTAGTTAATTACCATATAAGACATTCTGTGTTAAGTAGGTTTTTTCATAAAAACTCCTTTGTGTGTAATATTTACTGTATTTCAATTAAATATATACTGCCGTAATATATAAAGATGAGTAAAGACATGGAGTATGGTGGTACGAGGAACAGTAGTTTCCAGTAGCTTAAAGACAACAAATGAGTTCAATTTAGAAATTCTCATATTTTTATGAAATTATTTTAATTTATATAAACTACAAAAGGAGAACCAGGGAAATAGCACCATTATTTGTTCTTAAATTATGTTTAGCAATTGTACCTTAAGGATTCTTGATACATGATTTTAGAAGTTGAGAAGTACATTATTATTTTAAAGTTATTTCTAAAAGCCATTTATATGGTTATTTAAAAGAGGAAGAGCCTGCATAAGATGTATATAAAACTGCTAATTTTTAAGTGTGAGAGGATTCAGAGGAAACAGAAGTAATTTTTATGTAAGACAAGCATGTAATGCTTTATAATATTAATAGAAAAGACTTAAACCTTAATAGTTTTATTCTGATCACAAATATAATACATTCTCATTGTATTATTGTAAAAACCAGAAAGCACAAATTATTTCTTAAAATTGAAAAGCCAGGAATAGTACTGGTAACACTTGCTACGTATACATGCATTCATTTCTCCTTCTACCTGTTTCCACCCAAAACAAATAGGTTTTTTTCTCTTTTCACTTTTGCTTAACTCGTAATTTTTAAACTTCATATCATTTAAAAACAAATACAGTTACGGTAGAGTTAAAATATATTTTGAACAAAAAAAGTTTAACACAAATGTCAAAAAATGTTATAGATGCATTTTGGATAAATGAATGAAATTCTTAGTTTGTTACCAGGGAAGGCAACAAGGTAATTCAGTATCAAATGTATAGTTCCAATAGATAGAAAATTAATCTTTGACTTCAGACTCCCGAGGGGCTTTCTTGAATCATTATTGATTGGATCTTCATTCCTACCTCAAGAGACAAGTTGGTTGAATTAGGATTTAATTGTGTTTATAGTTTAAATAGATCACTCCTTTCCTAGTGTACTTTCTTTTTTAAGACAAAAATTGGTATACCTGAAAAACATGCAAAAAGCAAGAGGATGAGATTTAAAATAATCCTTCATTGCCATATTATTTCTGTCATGCGTACCATTATTTGTCAAAGAATCATCTTCAACTACCCAATATAAATTTAGTTACATAAACTGTGAAATTTATTTCAAGTCGATAATATTAGTTAGACTGTATTTAAAAGGCACCTATCCAGTTTCTTATTATTTTATTTATTTATTTGTCTGCTTGTTTGTTTATTTATTTGAGACAGCATCTCACTTTGTTGCCCAGGCTAGAGTGTGGTGATGTGATCATGGCTCACTGCAGCCTTAACCTCCCAGACACAAGCGATCTTTCCACCTAAAGCCTCCTATGTCTACAGGCCTGTGCTGCCTTGTCCAGCTAATTTTCTGTTATTTTTCATAGAGACAAAGGTTTGCCATGTTGTCTGGGCTGGTCTAAAATTCCTGGGCTCAAGCCATCTGCCTACCTCTTCCTCCCAAAGTGCTGGGATTACTGACATGAGCCACTGGGCCTGGCCTATCCAATTCTTTAAGTTTACATCTTGATAAGTATTATACGTGTGGAAGTCAGATCTCCCTCGTCCCCCAAAGATGATCCTGAATGACTCCAACTTTGAGGAAATCAGGAGAGCAGTTAGTTATAATGTGAATAATACAATGAAGATATACTGTGATTGCTAATACCTGAATGGAAATTTGTGTATCCAATGCTATTAAGGTACTATATTTTAAACAATTCTTGTAGATACATTTTTTGAAAAAAATGCATTTGGCAAATAAAGAAGTACATGTGGAAATATTTATGTTAGCAAAAATTGTAATATTCTGTTTATTCTCTCTTTTCTATATAGCCTGAGAAAAATGACAGTGAGCCAGGCAGCCAGAGGATAAAACCCGTTTTCATTGAAGATGCTAATTTTGGACGACAAATATCTTATCAGCATGCAGCAGTCCATATTCCTACTGACATCTATGAGGGCTGTAAGTAAAAGAATGTTAACATCTGTTGGAATACCATGCTGTTGCCTGTCTTATGTTTCCCATGTTTGAGGGGAAAAAAGAGCAAATGTGACATTGTTTTGTTTGTCATATAAGAGTCTGTGGTAAACTCTGATTTATGTGAAAGAATCAATCTGATTTTCATGAACAGTTTATGTCAATATAGCCTCACTAAACGAATATTCATAGGACAGCCTGCATCCGTAGAGTGGTCCTTCTAACTTAATGTTTAGTAATTAATTCTGCTTTCCCAGTTGCCATCCATAACTTACAAAGTATATAGATATATTTGTCACAAGTCAAAACTGTGCAGCTATATTACACGGACATGCAGAAATATTCTTGCATAAATGGGTAAAGGGAGAAAATTGTATGTTTTAGATTCTTTCCAGTTCTTATGACTTCTTCTCATGTCTGTCAGTCTCTCTCTCTTTTTCCCTCCCCTTCTGTGTATGTTTCTCTGCCTTACCCTAGGATATAGTTAAAAAGTACCCTCCTCTCAATGTATTGTGGGCTTCCAGCCAAAAGAAGTGGTTGGGTAAAAGGAAGAGACCTTAAAAACTAGAAAAGTAGTGACTGGAAATCTTGGTTGGGAAGGCTTCCCTGTGAGAAAGGGATGGGGGAAAAAAGTGTTTAGGAAAATAGTGGAGGAAGCTTGCGCAGGTGTTGTTTTTTAGAGACACGCTTTGCATTAATCAGAGCAAAGCCTGAGAATTCTAACTAGGAATTTTCCAAAGGACAACTCTATTGTGTCTGAGAATGAACTGTGACCAGAACCAGGGTATTTGTTCAGTCATATCCCTGGTCTTCCATATTATTTATTCTTTAACCCATCCCTCCACCCCATCCTGCACCTTGTTCCCTGCCTTCTCATATAGTAAAGGATAAGGGAAAAGAACTGCTTGAGATTGTAAAGAACATGTTTCTTATATTCCTCTTGGGAGGTGGTAGAGTGTATTTGGAATCCAGATTATCCAGATGGCCTGAGTTCTGGAACCAGACTACCTGTGGTCAAATGTAAATTTTAGCAGTATTATTTCCTCAGGCAAATCCTGCAACTTTCTGAGTAGGCATTCTCTCGTCTGTACAATGGAGATAAGATTAGTATCCTGAAATGTCCTTTGAGGATAAAGCAAGTTTAATGTATTTAAGTTCTCATAATAGTGCCAGGCTCATAGTAAGTGCTATATAAGTGTTTGTTGTTGTTATTATTTACAGTTAAAGTTTATTTAGACTCACAAGATTAAGTAAAGGACTCACATTGTGAATGACTTTTTTTTATTCACTTTGAGATTATTGGTTTTTATAAACAATTTTTTAATGCATGTATGATTCTTTTTGTAACAGATTTTGTCTTTGATCAAATTATTTTATTTCATTTCTCCTTTTAAGTGTTTTAAAAGTGCCACTGTTTTCATTCTATCAATTCTTTGATGACTTTAAACCTATAATTATGTATAATAGAAACAAAATGTTGTGTGTGTGTGTATATATATATTTGTGTGTATATATATGTAGTTTCTTACATGAGCCTTAAACATAACTTTTTACACTCCAACTCAGACTATTAATTCCAAGCCCTTTTTAGAATCATTTGGGATTTGGATTCATATATTAATAATTTTTCTTTGACCATTGTGTTATTTTTTCTATAGCTACTTTTGATATTTGTAATTGTTTTTGTCATTATTATAACTATTCAGACAATGCTAAGCTATATGGTTATGTTTCTCAATTTTTGAATAATACATCTTCCACTTTAGTTTCAGATCTATCACCTGTTGTTTGTTGGATATGTCAACAAAATAATAATCTCGTTCTGTATCTTTCTATTGAATTCCGATTGAAGAAAAACTCGCTGGGTATAGAAGCTTTGAGTCAAAATATTTTTTGTCAGTACTCTGTACATTATGGCACTGCTTTTCAGCCTGCATTACTGTGTTGAAGAAAACTGAAGCCAACTTGAATGTTGCTCATTTATTAGAAATCTTTTATGATTGAGTTTTGTATTGTTGATATCTGGGAGGCTTTTTTATTTCTAAATTTAATAATTTATAAATGTCGACAAGATATTTTAAGTCAGTGATTTTCTAATAGCTTTAATCTATAAACATTTTGTTTACAATATGTATTTACATGGAAGACTGATGTGTAAAAGAGATTAAAGCAAAAACCACTGTGCCGGAAATAAATGTGGTGTGGCCAGAACACTAGTTGCTTTCTTTTTACTTTCTGACTCCCTCACCCAGGCTGGAGTGCAGTGGTGCGATCTAAGCTCACTGCTGCCTCTGCCTCCCGGGTTCAAGCAATTATCCTGCTTCAGCCTCCTGAGTAGCTAGGATTACAGGCATGCGCCACCATGCCCAGCTAATTTTTTTGTTTGTTTTTTGTATTTAGTAGAGACGGGGTTTCACCATGTTGGCCAGGCTGATCTCAAACTCCTGACCTCATGATCCACCCGCCTTGGCCTTCCAAAGTGCTGGGATTAAAGATGTGAGCCCCCACGCCAGCCGTCTTTACTTTAATGTCCTATGTCTAGTATTGGTAGTCAAGACAGATTATCTGGACAGGTTTATAGATTATTGTTTGATTAGTTGTGAGCCAGAATTGTACACAGGAGGCAGTAAGATACTTACTTTGCATTAAAATCTGCATTCTGTTACTCTTTTTCTTCCTTTCCTTTGTTGAAATCACTTTATAACTAAAGCATCCATCTATTGTATGCTAGAACAAATATGAAATCTGACTCACAAATTTGAACAAATTTTTTTAAGAATTAAAAAAAATGTTTACATAGGCATACATATATCTTAGTATGGTACAGTTTTAAATTTGTATAAACAATGTTTTTCTTTCCAATTTAAAAGAAACTATTTGTAAATAGCTACAGATAATTTTAATAGTCTCAGAGAATACAACTTATCATTTTAAGAATCAATAAAATATTTAATATGTTTTCAGCAGTTATAGGCATTCTTTGGGATATGTCATAATTAAAAGTAAAAGGAAGCTCTGTCTTTGGATTATTTATTTAGTCCCATTCATCTTAATATTGGCATCTTCCTCTTTGCTGAAATCTCATCAGTAAGACTCTAACCTTTCCCGGCCTGTACTTCTTTAAAATTCATATCCAGTGTTATAAGCTGCATGAATAAATGACAGGAATAAAATCAGAAATGTCCACAAGATCTGGAAAATTTAATAATTACCGGCATTCTTCGTGCGGTGTGTGGGAACATATCCGATTTAGAGGATTGTTCTAGGCTTCTGAGTTTAATGAATATGAAAGTGCACTTTAATTGAAGGCTTAACTGAAGGAAACAACCTTTTTCATTTTAAGACAGTTGTGTAGCTGTACTCTTATAAGAAACCTCGTGTTCTAATTTCACAAAGATGATTACTTTTTAAAGTCCCTTGAATTGAAATGTGATTATTTCTGCTCAGTGATATATTTAAAGTTTTAAATACTGTATTTAATTAGAGCCCCATCTCAAAATTTCCATTTTTGAGAATTTCACTGGTTGCTCCTTTTCTTTTAGAGGACACCCAAACCATACTTAATTTTCAGATCTAATTTATCTGCTTAGGAATATAGAAGACAAACATATAACTTAGTAAAAACAAGGGCTGAATATTCTGACTTAATTTGTTTTTAATCACAGAACTTTATTAATTTTTGAATCACTTTAGACTCAATGTAGGGCTGTTTTCATAGAATATTCTATAATCATTTTAAATGGCAATTTGTATTGATATTTCTTTATATAATTATATTTCTGTAAGAATAACATTAATAAGGGAAAATAATAGGAAGGAACCCCAACTTCCATAAAGCTTTTAGGGACCAGATGCTTTTGTCCTTATACTTACCCCATAATTTAAGTAAGGCAATTATTATTTACATTTTAGAAGTAAAAATACCTAACATTTTTATCATGAAGATATCTTCATTTTGATAAAAGAAGACAATTTTCATGAGTTATATTATCTTTTGATGTCTCATATGCTTTACTAAAAGTACTTCATTTTTGTAATTTAAGCTAAAAATCAATTATCCTTGTAACTTATCTTGATATTCAATTGTGTTATCTTAAAAGATATAGCTACTGTATCTTAGATGATGTCAGTGTCAAAATTGCAGAGGAAAAGGGTGCGTGCACTCTTTGCCGACAATTGCATAATCTCCTGTAAATTTTAGTAACTAATCTGTTCCAACACAGATCCACCACTTACTAATAATTTACATTTAGCTGTTGTAAACAGCCCATTTTGTTGTTACTCCAAGTACAGTGAGGGTAGTATACTTTTAACAGAGTATCTTTTACTATCTTTGTTGGAATAGAAATCTCCTCCTCGTGTGGTGGCTCATGCCTGTAATCCCAGCACTTTGGGAGACCAAAGTGGGCAGATCAATTGAGCCTAGGAGTTAGGGACTGGGCTGGGCAATATAGTGAAACTCTGTTTCTCTAAACAAATTTTAAAAACAGCCTTGGGTGGTGTCATGCGCCTATAGTCCCAGCTCCTTGGAAGGCAGAGGTTGGAGGTTCACTTGAGCCCAGGAGGCAGAAGTTTCAGTGAGCTATGATCATGCCACTGCACTCCAGTCTGAGTGACAGAGTGAGACCCTGTTTCAAAGGAATATATATATATATATATATATGTATGTATGTGTGTGTGTGTGTGTATATATATATATATATATCTATCTCAAGGAAAAGTTAATCATAACTGGGAAAATAGCTTTTTTAGACATGGTATTATCATTTAATTACCTCAGAGGCAGTCAATCATCAAGTGAAATTTAATTAAAACAAACTGGCTTCAAATATATATGTATGTTAAAATATATATCATAGAAATGAAAAATAGTAAATGTTCTCTTTATTTTGCCTTTAACACATTTCTTCATTTAGCAAATACTAATTAAGGACCTAGCATGTCATGTACTTTTCCAGATAATGGAAATATAGCACTCACTAAAT